TCAAGTAGAAACCAGTTAAACAAGCCAACATCATGACAAAAGGTTACAATACAACAAAGTATTCATAATTCTCTTAACCATTTCTCGTGGGTCAAGTAGAAACCAGTTAAACAAGCCAACATCATGACAAAAGGTTACAATACAACAAAGTATTCATAAATTCCCTTAACCATTTCTCGTGGGTCAAGTAGAAACCAGTTAAACAAGCCAACATCCTGACAAAAGGTTACAATACAACAAAGTATTCATAATTCTCTTAACCATTTAGTTGGATTTTTGAAGTCATGTTATGTTTTTTTTTCGCTTCAAATTAGACGCTCAAGACACAACGAGAGCTAATGCTATGTATTCAAAGTTGTGAAGAGTGGTTTATGGGCTGTGATCTGCTTGAGAAGTACAGAAGCATGTACTCTGAATGAATGTGCTGGCCTGTAGTCCTGATCACTCATTAAATATCTCTAAGGATGAATTTAATGGCCCATTTGGAAATTTGTTTCATAGCCCGTTTCAAAACTATCAATGATTGAGAAGTAATTAATGTTTGGTGGTCAAGCAAATATTTATAAAATTAGTAAGTCCAGTTGTCTTTCTTTGCAGCACATTATTCAGAATGGATAACCAGGTGGGCTGAAGTATCTGACGGTTTTGCATCAACTAGCTATTCTTATTTGAAGCTGAGCTCATTTCTTAATAGCATCTTCTTTTTAAGAGTATCTCAATGGACAAAAGGAGGAAACCTTGATTCTAAGAGTATGTCAATGCACAAGGGGAGGATCTTGTTAGCAAGGCTCAGACTTTTTTGTTCCTTTATCGAACTCTTTATAACAGGTTAGATCCGTTTATTATGAATTTTTCCATAGCAATGCATCATGGGAATCATGCAAATTCATTATTGATTGCCAAATTACGAGGTGTGATTGTGCTGTTGTAGTACCTGTTTTAAAATATAAATAATAATAACAAAAACATTTCATTTGCATATGGTCATCGATAGTAAATTATCATTGACAGAACTCTCTAATATTTGGTGTATTATACGTGTACATATATTAATCTCTTTGTAGGGTTAATGGCGACATCTTTTTCTAAGAATGAATGCTGCATGATCTATTTACGAAACTGCTACCTTATCGTATCTGAAGTTTCAGTAGCGAAGCTGATAAACTCCGTTTCTTGGAATACCGTCTAATGTTTCCTCTCACATTCGCCAGATTTAGCACATGAAGTTATTTGGTTTTTACATTAAACATTTAAATTATCTAAAACGATGCAATGTTCAAATTATAAATTGCATTGTTATTAACATTCATAAAATGAACATTCGAAAATAGTTATAATAATAGAGGCTCAGTTCTAGTTTTCTTATGTTAAAAATTGGTATTTAGGATAATTGTACAAATTCTGACTTTCTCAAATATACTAATGTTGTTGTTTGTAATTAAGCATAAAGCTACACAATGGGCTATCTGTGCTATGCCCACCACGGGTATCGAAACCCGGATTCTAGTGTTGTAAGTCCGCAGACATACCGCTGTGCCACTGGGGGGGGGGATATACTAATACACTGAAACACCAATTAATTGTCAGAGCACACATTTCTATGTGAAAAGTAGTGATTGAAATGTAGAAAACTTCAGTACCTGTCACTTTAACCAGTTGGGGTTAAATAATAATCTAACAGATAATATCTTATAAATAGTAACAGTAGTTGTACTGATATAGTGACTAAACAGTGGCGTTAAGCTATTTTGCTTGATTCTTAAAAATATAGTTGTGAGAGCATCAAACTGATATCAACAAACCTTTTTTTATTATTAAATAAAACTTTTGCGCATGCAAAATACTTTTCAAATATTACAAGTAAATCTTGGATAATAATACACTTCACTTTCCTGTTACAGCGCCTCCCAGTGGCACAGCGGTATGTCTGCGGACTTACAACGCTAGAAACCGGGTTTCGATACCCGTGGTGGGCAGAGCACAGATAGCCCATTGTGTAGCTTTGTGCATAACTACGAACAAACATGTTACAGCTTATTATTATAAATTTCTTTATCCCTAAGGAGTTTAATTATATTAAACAATTACGATGTAAATGTAAAAGCATATCATTTAGTACAGTAAAAAGTAAGTCAGGTGGATGCCATTTATTTATAGCTGTTTTATCAATTACTTTACGTTTCTATCAACCCAGTATAATCAATTAAAATTCAGTTAATTATCATGTATGTTGTGCCTTTAATTTGTACATATAGTTCTTGTTTTAGGCTTAATTATATAAACTGGGAGGAACGAAAGGATTTTTCATTAGTATAAACAAGCAAAAAAAAAGAACATTAAAATACTTACGGGAATTTACTTCACAGATAAAACCTCTCCTTTGTCGGCAACTTGCTACTTTCCAAGTTCCATCTTTTAATTTCATAACACAAGTGTCTATGTGATTGGGTAATTTGCGGGGTTCGTTTGCACCCCAGTTTGTGTAAAGCATGGGCCACTTTGAAACCCAGAGAAATCTGCCTGTATCTTCCTAGAATCAGAATCACATAACAATATGAAAAGTGTTATAATAGAAAAGTAACCTACTAGCATCTATCGTATTTTAAAAGCACAACAAAAACAGCTTGAAGCACTATAATTCCACAATTCTTTGCTAATAACTTATCAATTATGTGGATCGTTTCACTTGAGAACAGTGCTAATTTAAACATGCTCGACTTCAAGCTAAGATTCTCCATTAAATTTGTTATAGTTTTCAGTGTTAGTCTAATCTATTTATACTATTTTATTATAAGTTGTTTATCAACTGAATTTCCAAAAATTGATGATGAACTCGAGACTTTCAACTCTAAAGGAAACTAACAGAAAATTGATGTGATGTTTTAGAGGATCCACTGCTTTAAATCCATCATAGTTGAAACATTTGTAATAAAGTTTAAATTTAACTGAAAAGGATTAAAATGTGTAATTTTTTAAGTTGTCATGCATATTATATGTATCTATATATTGGGTCTAATATGAAAAAGAACCTGTAAAAGTGCTCATATCTTGATACTGACACTTTGTTTAGTATTGTTCATGTGTTTAAGAAACAAAGCCTCGTTTTGCATTTGTTTCAAAAGGTTAGTGTAATATAAAACTATCCCTCTTAGTAAAAATTCTCTACTACATTTTGTAAAATTTTAGAAGAGATGACGAACTAATTGTTTCTCGTATTACGTTTATTAGAGCGGCTTAGAGGCATGACTAAGATTTGTAGGTTAGGAGAAAGCAAATTACAAAGGATCCCAAAGTAGGATTTAACGTTTGATATTAGACAAATGCGCGAAGATTCCCACTGGTGGATCAAGGAATAAGAAAGAAGGTCTTATTATTTCATGAGATTAATTGCAAACACTTTTTTAGCAATAAAACTTTATGTTTTGTTGAGAGTGAACATTGATTGTAAAATAATGTAACTCCGAGAAATAATCTTTCCAGAGATGGAATAACTGTCAGAATGTCTTCCTCTCTTACTCCAGTAATTATTATGATAGTGATTTATCACCAATATGGAAGCAGAAATAAATATATTAAAGTCATAGCGTGATCAAGACACATGGTAGTGTTTTGACCACCATCATGCCCAAAGTTGAACAAAGAACGCGGCCTAGCTAACTAATGAATGAATATTTGTGTAAAATTCTTATCCATGCTATAAGTGTAGCTACCAGTTTTGTTGCCAATTTTGATTTCATTCCTTTAAGTCGCACGCTCAATCCTTTTTGGTTGCACCTTTTTTTTTCTCACACTTAAGGTGTTCTTGATTAGATATAATATACATAACTACTTAATACATTATATGGTATTCGTTTCTCAAGGCTTGTGAGATAAAATATATTCTTACAAGTTAAATTTGTACTTACATCTTTTTTCATTCCAATCCATACCGGCATTTCAAGTGAAAGATGCAATGTTCGGAGAAAAAGATGAATTCCTATGTGAGTAATTGACACCAGATGGCCTCCGTTTTCTTGGCATGTTTTTTCTGCGTCATACCAAGAAGCAACTTTCTTTGGGTGAACAAAAAGTTTGTAACAGCTTGTATCGAAGTGGTACCAGCCAATATTAGAGCACAAACCCTCTTCTGGAGCAGGCGAGTCTATAGTTTTATCTTTGAAAAGAAATAAAATGTAACATAACTATAACATTTTCTAGATCTAACTGAGTCCAGTAAGATTTTTATAAGACAAAACAATGAAACAATTTTTCCAAAACAATTAAATAATTAAGTGCTATATTCGGTGTTAAGAGTTGTTGAGGCATGTAATTTTACATGATTAACAAAAGTCATGTATTCCTTAATTATTCATAATCACACAGGATATATGAAAATACCTTTGTCGAAAATAATATTAGGTTATTAAAGAATATTATTTAATATTCTTAATGAACATCATAGCTAATATAAGCGAACATGAGAATTTTGCTATACAAATTGCTGTAGATTCTAGATCATATTTTTAACCCTTTAACTTTGTTTTTATAGTAATTTTAAAGAGTTTGTGTTTAAAACTAAGAATTGATACAAATATTTTACTTTGACACCGTGGTGCACAACGGATATTGCGCTCGATATTTTCTCAAAACTACTATCTATTACATCTTTCATTAGATATTAATGCATGCGATAAAAGCATTTTATTGTGCAATAGGCTTGATATAATATCACAGTAAAATTGATAATATTTTTATCGCATCATTCTTTACTAGGCCTTTATAGATTCTGATATCAGAACTCATCAGACAGGCTGAGTAACAACGCATCAAATTTAATGGTGTATAGTTTCTCATCTGGCGAAGTAAAATTCTATATTGGCATTGAACCTGTTCATATATTATCCTATTCTATATATTATAATAATATATTACATTATACTGCATTACTATATCAACTTTGATAACACGGTAGGGTAGTATGCATAGCAGGCTTAAGCATTATACGTAATTAATTGGATAAAATATTATATGCCAACGTTCTTACTTTAACTTGAGATTACTCTGTGTATAAAAATGATTAAATTTTGTGAATAGAATATCATGTTTTGAAATAAACAAATTTTAGACCTAAGTTTTTGTAAAGGGTACGTTATACCTTTCGTTTAAATAGAAAAGAGGTTTTATGAACATTTAAAGCATACTTCAATCATAACTTTGACTTAGTGATTCGGTTTCTTGACTCACAATCTGCGGGTCGCGGGTTCGATTCCCAGTTACCGAACATGGTCGCCCTTTTAGCTGTGGGAGCGTTACAATATGATGGTTAATCTCACTATTCGTTAGTAAAAAAATAGCACAAGAGTTGGCGGTGGGTGGTGTTGACTAGCTGCCTTCCCTCTATTCTATCACTGTTAAATTAGAGATGGCTAGCGCAGATAGTCCTCGAATTGCTTTGCGCGAAATTCAAAACAAACAAAACGTTGATAGCTAATGTAAACATGGGAAAAAAACTGAGTTTTGTATTTTAAAAAGTCATTAGACAATTGATAATTTCTTATACATTGCTTGTCTTAGTAAACTTTATCAGAAAATTTAATAGTTTTGCTAAATGTATATAAAAATTACCTGAAGAGGCTAAGAACGAAGGAAATTACGAAATACAGGTATGAAAAGTTAGTCTCAGATCGAGTAATAAGAACATAGAATAATAATTAGTTGATCATAGAACCTATTATAGTACGTGGCTTGCAGAACATATGATAATAAGTATTTTACAGAACAATGAGAACATTGTGGGTTACAGAACATGTAAGTACAACTGTTGTGCTTGTAAGCTTACCGAATTGAACTACTAAGCATATTCGAAGGTTAGCTCCATCAACACAGTGGCACAGCGGAATGTCTGCGCGGACTTACAACGCTAGAATCCGGGTTTCGATACCCGTGGTGGGCAGAGCACAGATAGCCCATTGTGTAGCTTTGTGCTTAATTACTATCCCTGTCACACCAAACATGTTCGCCCTTTCAGCCGTGGTGGGCGTTATAATGTGACGGTCAATCCCACTATTCGCTGGTAAAAGAGTAGCCCAAGAGTTGGCGGTGGGTGGTGATGACTATCTGCCTTTCCTCTAGTCTTACACTGCTAAATTGGGGACGGCTAGCTCAGATAGCCCTCGTGTAGTTTTGCGCGAAATTCAAAACAAACAAACAATACAAACAAACAAACCATCGACAGAATAGGAAAATCGTATTTTCTTGTGGTATTAATGCAACTACTATGTTTTTTAAATTAAATAATCAATTGTATTTACTTACATACACTATATAGCGGAGTTTGCATAAATAGTGACATTTAAGTAAACATTTTTCGTTCCATTTTAAAAGCTTGCAACTAATTGGTTTAGATATAGCGTACGAGTTTTATAATACGAAACATACAAGGTATACGAAGTGTAAAAAAGGTGAAATAAAAGATAGGCAGTGGAAATGATAATAGGTTATAATACGAAACATACAAGGTATAGAAAATGTAAAAAAGGTGAAGTAAAAGATAGACAGTGGAAATGATAATAGGTTATAATACGAAACATACAAGGTATACGAAGTGTAGAAAAGGTGAAGTAAAAGATAGACAGTGGAAATGATAATAGGTTATAATACGAAATGGTTTCATCGTTAAAAAGAAGTAATTCTAAAGAAAAGTGAGAAATTTATTAGAGTTACATAAAATCTCTTTTGAAATAAGATATTGCAAAATAATTTTGAAATTATATTGTCGACAATAAACAGGGTACTATACATATAACAGGATAACATATATAGTTAGCACTGCAATAGTTGCAACAAAATTTTACTAAAATGCAATATGAATTTTGAAGATGTAGTCCTAACACTTTTGCCACAATAGAGTTCGAGTTTTGAAAACGAAAGAAGCTACGTTTTACACACTATGATTGATTGGTTGGTTGTTTTGAATTTCGCGCTAGCCGTCCCTAATTTAGCAGTGGGAAGGTAGCTAGTCATCCTCACCCACCGCCAACTATTGGGTTACTCTTTTACCAACGAATATTGGGATTGACCGTCACATTATAACGTCCCACGGCTGAAAGGGCAAATTTGGTGTGACGAGGATTTGAACCCTCGACCCGCAGATTGGGAGTCATGTGCCCTAACGACCTGGCCATGCCGGGCCTTACACATTATGAAAAAGTATTTCTACAATACATTTCTTAAAGGAATTTAGAAAACGATATTATATACGTTCAGTTATAATCTCTCGATAACTATTTAGAAATTCATATTTTACTTTCGAATATATCTGTTTGTTGTAAAGCATACAGCTACACATAGGCTATCTCTGTTCTGCCCACCGCATATATCGAAACTCGATTTTCAGTGCCACAAGCCCACTGACTTACCCCTGAGCCACCATACGCTCATATATCGCCATTTTATGAGAAGACCTTTTTTTCGAAAGATCAGGGGGAAAGCATTGCCATTTTTTTCTTCTGTGTTTAGAGCCGTATGCGTTAACTTTCCTATAGTTTGACATATCAATTAAGGTACAAACTGCCTTATCCAAAGCATCGGGACATATAGTCGTAGAGAGAGGGGTGGGTTCTGTATAGTGGCTTGGATAGCTGCTGTTGTTCTGAAATTCATTCTCGTAGTTAGGTCGTGCGGACTTACAGCACTAAAAACCGGATTTTGATACTCGTGGTGGGCAGAGCACAAATAGCCCATTGTGTAGCTTTGTGCTTAACAACAACGATCACTTAATTAGGTTGTATGGTACAGTTTGTCTACATTTTTGTTTCCAAAAACCGGCCATTCGATGACGAATAGAAAGCTGTAGTTTCGTATTTCGAATCGTATTAACCCTTTCAGGTGGGTACAAATGGTTATAAAGTTCTGGGTTCGGGGGTGAGACACTTCAAGATATGAAAACATCTCTTAGAAACCAAGCTTGAATTGTCTATATAGCTTTTCGCAGGAAGCATTATTTACACTGGAATAAAACATTGGCCTGCTAGCCAAACAATATACTGTCTTGGCGAAAATCTTTGCGTATTTTGTAGTAAATAAGAGCATTATTATTAAAATGAAATACAAATACACTTAGCATTGTCAATCTGAGAAATGCATGTTATATTAAACGTCTAAATATGTAACTTGTATAATGAGACAAGTTCTATGGACATCATGAAAGATCTATTAGAACAACAAACAATTTTATCAGACACCTATAGAAAAATGTGTAATTCAGCATTTCACCTATCACAACAAAACCTTACCAAAACATATGTAAGGACAAAATATAACATCAAATTATCATAAATAGCGTCTGTAACCTTATATCAATCCATATTAAACTTTCACTACTTGGTTGGTCCTCCTCGTACTCTAAAAGCCTCCACAAGGCGACGAGGCAGTTGTTCTAAGAAAGTCTACTTGTAGACACCGAAAAACTACTGCCCGAGATGACCGTATTTTGATCAGATTAACATGTCAAGGTCGAAAGAGGTCTTGCAACACCTTACGATAGGAATGTTATGAACACATTCATCCCGGGGTATCCAGAAAAACAGTGAATAGAAGATTGTCTAAACAAGGCTATTTTGCAAGAAGGACTATCTGCAAGCTGATATTAATCAGAATTCACTGGAAAACAGATGAGGAAATATTGTTTTTCCCACAGCAAACACATAGGATGTGGTGCAGTACATTTGGGCAGCTATTCATTATGGTGGAAAACTACTCTTCATATCCTCCTCAATGGATTCTCATACAGGCATCACAAGGAGACGATAGTTCTGCCATATGCTAGGGCAAGGTTTGACAATAACTTTGTATTCCAGGAGCATAATACAACTGTCCACAGTGCGTGTATTGTACAGGATTATTTCGATCACGAGGACGTCACGAGATTGCCATAGCCAGAAAAGTCTCCAGAATGTAATCCCATTGAGAAGGTTTGGGCAGAATTGGGCCGGAAAATTTACAACCCTAAACCAGCTACTGTAGCTGAGTTGCAGCCCTTCTAATGACAAGTTGGGATGAAATCACTGTGAATTACATCAATAACCTCATAGACAGCAGTTTCCTGTTGTCCGATGATATTTCAGGATTCTGGATACAATACACTGGAGGTACCCTACTGTTCTCGCAATGTCCGTTTGCTTCATACTATTTCTGTACAGTCGAACAATTTGACGCCCTATAACTTCTGACACGTGACGAGGCAGGACTCTACACCAATTACAGAGAAATAGTCTGAACAAAGCGTTGATCTGTTTCGAAAAAATATTACACCAAAAGCACACCCTTTTATACAAAACAGGTGTGTATGTGTGTTTTGACGATCAAATGCTCAAATCAACTTATACAGAAAAGAATATCAACTCGTACAAGTTTGTCTAATCACACCCTACTTTATCTGTTAATACTCGGGCATTTACTTAAAAACTACTCCATGCATGTAGACAATAACATCAATATAAAACAATGTGCAAACATTCTAACCAAGACTGTATGTCTCGGTTCCTATAATGTGCTCAGTTAAGATCTATTGATACCCATTTGGCATATAGACGTAAAGGCACCTGACACATATTAGCACACGGGCCTCATTATCAATGTGAAGGTTATAGCTACACTGAAAACAGCATTCACGGAATGGTTTGAGCAGTTAGCACTACATAGTACAATCGAATTGCTCATTTTTCTGCTTCCAAGCTCTTTTAGCCATCACTTTTAAACTGGATGAAGTAGCTGCCATCATTCCACATATTTCATGGCCAAATTCAATATTCTAGCTTTGATATACTTTACACCAGGCATTAAGACGCCGACCATTCTTCAGGGTGCAGTAAGGGCATTGTTAATTTTCTGTAATAATTTCTCAGACCCTTTTCAAAATCCTAATAATTGGATTTTTGTTACTTCTGAGAGCACTTTTGGTTGACTCAAATGTTCACTCCAAGTTCAATGGTTAAACGGGCTGACGTAAGGTAGACTGCACGTGACTGAACCATAAATATTGATTTTGCACATTTCTAGCAGCTTATATATCATCCTAACTCGTATTCACATCATTCACAATGTTTTTGCTTCTTCTGCACACTTTGAACTACTAATTTATTAATCTGATGTGCTTCCATCTCTATACTTAATGCAAAGCATGTGCTCTGTGAGCCATGATGCAAGACAGCGCATGTATGTGTTGTTTCAAATTTTATTGGACGACTACATCTCTGTAACCAAGACGTCGAAGTGTTTTGAAATACATAAATAGTTTTCTCATTTTATAAGCGAGAAGTTAACGCCATATTCTACTAGAAAGTTTTGAACAATGTGTATTTTTCATGCACCAAAAATGATCTGTTCTCTAAAATACGGAAAACAATATACGTTAGAAACATTTAAATACTGCCTAATTAAAATTGTTTTGCAATACAACAAAAACACGAAATTTACAGACCTTTGTATTTTTGACAAAAATAAGAAAGCTTCTCCTCGCAGTTAACGTTCCGCCATTTCCCCATTAATGTGTTATGATGCATCATTTCCACACAGTTGATCTGAAACAAATCAGTATAATTGTCTTACATAAGTCACTCACAGTTCTGAAATACACCTTCACATTTGTTCTAAAACTAACCATTATAATTATTCCAAAACAAGCCACTGAAAGTATTCTCCAGAATAAATCGCTACAGATCGTTTCGAAAAGGAAATTCACTGAAAAGTTTACTCAAACAAATCACTGCAGTTTTCTTGAGTGAGCCAGAGTGCTCAAAAACAAGCAAGTCTACATAACAACCATTCACTGTACATCAGTTCTATATGTCTATTCAGAGGAGGTGTGAAACAACTTCTGTCTATATATATAAAAAAATTATATCTTTAAAGAGAAAATCGGCTAGAAAACATGGTTAAGTACTAATTTAACAACAAATGTTTATTTTGTAGCATCCTTAGGTATCAGAGTTTAATTTTACAGGTCACCTTAAACCGAAGAACTCTTGAGATTTTATGCTAGTTACAATTTACACTTATATAAGGGTTAACGATCGAGTTAAAAACGAAAGTAATGTTTTTCAAATATAACAATATTTTAAATAATTCGTGTTTGTTTGTTTTTTCAACCACGTAGTCATCGGCACAAACACAGAACAAACAGAGTTAAAGCACAAGAAAGTTTACTACGAGGCCTCCAAGAAGTTTATCAAACTAATGGTCTCAGAAATTTATAGTTTACCCTAAAAGTGATTTCAGTTAATAACCCTTATTCGTTAATATAGGTGTCATTAAGTTCGATTAGCGATGTAGACTGGATATTGTTTTTTGTTTGTTTTTTGAATTTCGCGCAAAGCTACACGAGGGCTATCTGCGCTAGCCGTCCCTAATTTAGCAGTGTAAGACTAGAGGGAAGGCAGC